GAGCCACCATGTGGTTGCTGGGAATTGAACTCAGAACCTCTGGAAGAACAGTCAGTGTTCTTAACCTCTGAGCCACCTCTCCAGCCCTCATTAATGAATTTTTAAAGTAATGAGCTTAACCCATTAATCACTTAAGCACAGGCTGGAGAGCTGGTTCTCCAGCTAGGAGAAAGCACTGTTCTTGCAGAGGAGCGGATGTTACTCCCAGGACTCAGACTGGGCTGCTCACAATCCCTCCCCTGTAACCTGAACCTCAGGATCCACACGCTCTCCAGCCCTCCACTGGTATCCACACGTAAGTGGAGAAGCACTTATTTACACATCAGTAACTTCAAAATGAAACTATGGCAACCAGCTAAACACATGCCAGGAGAGGAGAGTCGTCAGGAGGACTCTTTTCAGAGGTCGAGCACAGCAACACGAGGCCCTCGGTGCAATGTGGGCTTTTATTTTATTTTTTTTTTAATATTTGTTGAGAAAGGGTCTTGGGATGTAGCCTTGGCTGTGCTGTTACTCAAGTAGCTCTTGAAGGTTTCAAACTCAATCTCCCAAATGACCAGTATAGGCGTGTGCCATCATGGGGGAGCCCACAGTGACTCAGTTTCTTCCATCTGGAGTCCTTGCTGACTTAAAAAGTCATTTGACCCTTTTCGACAAGATGGCGCCGAAAGCGAAGAAGGAAGCTCCCGCCCCTCCCAAAGCCGAAGCTAAAGAAAGCAGTGCTGAAAGGCGTCCACAGCCACAAAAAGAAGAAGATCCGCACATCGCCCACCTTTCGGTGGCCCAAGACCCTGCGGCTACGAAGGCAGCCTAAATACCCACGCAAGAGCGCGCCCAGGAGGAACAAGCTTGACCACTATGCCATCATCAAATTCCCCCTGACCACCGAGTCAGCAATGAAGAAGATAGAAGACAACAACACACTTGTGTTCATTGTGGACGTCAAGGCCAACAAGCACCAGATCAAACAGGCTGTGAAGAAACTCTATGACATCGATGTGGCCAAAGTCAACACCCTCATAAGGCCCGACGGAGAGAAGAAGGCGTATGTTCGGTTGGCTCCTGATTATGATGCTCTGGATGTTGCCAATAAGATCGGAATCATCTAAACTGAGCCCAGCCGGCTAATTCTAAATATACACTTTTTCACCATAAAAAAAAAAAAAAAGGTCATTTGAGTTCAAGCTTGCCTGCTCTCCCTGCTCTAGTATCCTTGAGAGCTGTGTGAATGTCCTGACTAAGTCCACAGAAAGGAGCATTTTGCCCACGAGTAACAACACATCATCTAAGCCACAGGCTGGAGAATGCCAGCCGACCGCACATTCAGACAGAGAAAGCAACTGCTTGCGGCTAGCGGGACTCGCATGGTAGACAGCGAGCCTGCGTGCGCTTTCTCCCCAGGGCAGTGCAGGGAGGTAGTTCACTGACTGGACGGCTCTTCCTTCTGTCTTCCGCCCTTAATCTGTATCAAAGTTCTGAAATAATTCTGTTCATTATTATGTTCATATTATTATTATGATTCAGAATAATATTATTCTGTTCATATTATTATTATGAAATAAGGCTGTTTGGTGTTGGCCAACAGGCCTCCCAGATCTGTCCCGTGTTTCCGTCTCAATCTCTTTTCACCTGCCATCTCCTTAGCCTCGCACCCCTCCAGGTGCCCAGGCTGACTCATCGGCAGGCTCCAACACCTCCACACCTGAATTTGACAAAGTTCCGTTTATTTAAAGGACATACTCTGAATTCACATTTATCTTTTAAAAATGTCTTTTCTTCCATAAGATGGTGGTAGTAGAGTGTGAGAGATCTTTAAATTTCTTTATACTTGATAAAAATTTGTTAATTCTCATAATATTGGGAGAATTTAACTAGTCTACAAAAACAAAACAAAAAAACAAACCAAAAGAAAAACAAACAAACAAAAATAAGCAGCCTCTCAGTCTACTCTAAGGAAAACACAAGCGTTGCAGAGAGAAGGTTGGCATGCCGTGACAAGGATGGAGGCTGGTGGGAAGCCTGTGTTACGGCTTCACCACCTACTTTGTGGCATCTGGCCACTGTTTTAGAATGACCAGTAACAGAGATCAAGGTCCAGCTAGATCTCTCTTACCACCAAATAAAACCTCCAGTGCAGGAAAGGGTTACATTTAATTGAATTGTTGGCCAAACAGGCAAACAGAAGTCACCAAACAACCCAGGATGTTGCCAAGGTTATTGGTTGCTCTGCAAACACTGATGGTAGGGTCCTATTGCTGGAGACAACACCAACAAGGCTAATCATGTCAGTGGCGATGTGGAGAAGTAGAGCTGAGGCCTACAGTCATCACCGTTACTAATTCATGGCAGTGTAAGGAACTCTGCGTACTACCAGAGAAGGGCAAACACCAACCCAGCTGCACACCGCTGATCTACAATGGTGGTCTGCCTTCAAGACAGGCTGGGGCAATCGTGGAACAAGGCTGTGTGAACAAGCAACCGCTCTGATGGATTTAAGGACCACTCCATGAGATGGAAGCCTCCCGGTACTGCTCAGGAAGCCTAGAACCTGAGACTAGATAGTCCATGTACTGGGGGAAACCACATCCTAATGGCCTCCTGCAGCAGCAGATGGGAGTACAGGGATCCACAGCTACACAACGTGCGGAGAATGAGAGACTTTGAACAGTTTTATGTCTCCATAAAAATCTCTCTTCTCAAGGCTTAGAGAACTCTGTGGAATAAGAGGTGGAAAGATTGTATAGGAGCGGAAGACAGCAAGGAAAAAAGGCTTCCAGACACAACAGGACGGACACACATGAAGAGACTGGCAGCGTGCACAAGGCCAGGTCCCAGAACTGAGGTGAACACAATCCCCACCCTTAAACCAAAAAGTTTTCTCCAGCTGATAGCTACTCACAAAGGAGTCTCACTGTGCATACAAACCACACTTGAGGGCAGGTCCCAGGCCCAACAGTAGATGCTAGAACAAAATGAGCCAATCGTGTTTTCTGAGGGTTTCTGGGCTCACCATGCTTTGCTTAGACATTTTCAGTTTCTCTCTCTCTCTCTCTCTCTCTCTCTCTCTCTATATATATATATATATATATATATATATTTACTGTT